ACTAAACAGTACTAGTAGTACTATATAAATCACTTTAATATATAACATTTATAATTTATACCATGGATATCATATAAAATATAGTTAGTTACAAGGTTGTATGCTTTTTTTATTATGAAATGGAATTCTATAGTTCAAATCTTAAAATCTTTATATTACTATTGTTTAGTGCTATTACAATGCAAAAATGCATGCTTAATAAATTTAAATGATATTTTTTGAGAATTAAAAAGTAACCAAATTATTGGAAAAGGTAATTATTTTTATTATCTCTTACCAATTGTTAATACACCATATCCTATATTCTTTGATCCCATTCTATACGAACAAGTTGGTACAATTATTTCACTGACTGAATTTGATGATTGTTGTCCAAACCTCCATTGAGCCTTGGACATTTCATCAAAGCTGTTATGCCCAAGCCTTTGAACATATGTATGTTTTCTTTTTTTAATATCACTTATGAAATTAAAAGAAGTATGATCATGAGCCGAGAATATAAATTCACTATTGAACTCATTAATGACCTGAAAAATATTTGAAAGTTCCTAGAATTATAATTCAAATTTATTTATTTTTTTAAAGTTACAATGCAAATATACTTTATCTGTAAATTTTGTCCATTTTGTTGTCAAAGGAATATGTGAAAACATAATTTTTACAGTATTTGTGCGATTTGTTGGATTGGTATTTATTGGCATTGAATCTATCAATTGGTTTACCTATATTTCAATTCAAAATCAATAACAATAATAATAATATATATATATATATATAAATAATACTAAAGGTATATTTTAAATAATTGTATTATACCATGATAAATTCTATCTTTTCATATTCAATTACTCCTGGTGAACCAAAGTAGAGATGAAATCTATCGACTTTTTCTCGAATTACAATTTCTTCATCCCCACCAATGTCATTATCTCCTGGAATAAAAATTACCTAAAAGTAAATAAGGATTAATAAATGAGTGAATAATAAGTAATTAAAAAAAAAAATACTTACATTTTTGGATGCAAGAGGAACTGTGTTTTTAAAAAAAAATATTTTACTAAATCTATGTAAATAACGTTCAAAAGTTTTTTGATCAGCTAATGATCCTTCATCTATTAAGTCACCCATAAATATAACATTATCAGGGTTAACATGCTGCAATGCTCGACCATATGTATTAAATAAATATCGATCGCTATCCCAGCGTGATATTACATTTTCTCTTTCTTCTCCTAACATTTGCGGATCAGCAACTAGTAAGATGGTTTTACAAAACTTATCATTACCACAGTATAATGTTGGCCATTTACTTGCATACAGTGAGTACACCAACCATTCATTGTAAATAATAGTAAAAGCAAAAAGCAATACTAAACAATAACAAATATATTCACTGAAAACACAAGATAAATAAAATATTAATGAATATTTCTATTAAAATAAAATATATCTTAATCATCATCTAGTGTGATTGAAAATTGTATAGTTAAAGTATTTGCCCAAGTTATCTTCTAAAAAATGAACCTAATATTTGTTATGGGCAGTACTTATAAAAAAAAATAATGTTTATTTTTACTGAAGTATGTAAACTGGCAATAGTAGATTAGTATGCTGATAAAACTTTTAAAACTGTTTAGTTTTTAAATAATTGATAGAGCTAACTTCACATTTTATAGTTATATATAAAGTAAATCATGAAATAATTAGTTTCCCATATTGATGTTTAAACTGAATATACAGTATCAGTGGCGTAGCCAGAAATCTCTCAAGGGAGGAGCCCACCAGATATAACACCAAAATCATACGTTTTAGTATATTATAGGTATTTTATATTTAATTAAGATTAAGACAATTAAAGTACTTATATTAAAGCATGTACAATTTAAGTAATGTCTATTATTTTGACCAGTCTTGAAGTTGCATTCTCCTGGCGGAGATTTTTATGAAATCTTGTGCTATTTCCTCCACAGTTACATTTTCTTCCTTATTAATGTTTTCATATCAAATCATTATTTAATCATACATTGTAAAGTATTAAAGTATAATACAAGTGCCGATTACTGAGTAGTATTGTGTTATACTATTATAATATGTACTACACGGGCCAAGGGGGGGGCCTGGGCCCCTATGGGCCCCTCCCTAAATACGCCACTGTACAGTATACAATATACAATGCATTTAATAGTTATTATATTTTTCGATTAAATAAAAAAATGTACAAAATTATATTATATTATAACTTATGAGTCTATGATGGTTATATTCTTCAATTCAAAATCAGATAAAATTTAGTTAGTATAAATTCTATTGCACATATTTATAAACATACTTTAATTTGTGTTTGGTCAATTCAAAAACAGTCTTCAGCCTTGTTAAATAAAACAAATGGAACATTTTAATGATGTTAAGTTCATTGGGATTAAAAACGCAAAATAATAAACATAGGTAATTTTTGATACAATTTAATAGGCAATCGTCTCTATAGAGAAGACTGAAATCAAAAAAAAATTTGGAGGTAGCTATTAAATGATAGAAGTACAACAACATTCAATAATTGAGTTATGACTTATATGGTTCTCTACGAGTTACGAAAAAAAATTGAAATATATAGAAAATACTCATAGCAGTAGTAAACTAGGGATCACGTTCTTAACTCTTAATTTAAGTATATACTATATACCAAATATTTATGACTTTATGTAAATACAATAATAATATAATACTAAAATATTATAATAATGATAACCACGGTCCACGATTTACCAAATTGAAAAAATAGTTTATATTTTATCTGAGGCCGTGGTCTGTGTTTACTGTTTACACCGTTATCACTTTTTATCAACCGTTCTTACATGGAACCACGATTATCTTTAATCGTGCATGGAACGTATTTTCATCATGGAGATATCACAGAATAGATGAAATTTCATATAAAATACTGTAGTGGGTTACCCGCGTATAGCGTCACAACGTAATCAAGTCCGATTCGACCAATCGGCGGGCTCCACACCCACGAAAGTGGGAATTATTTCATACCGGTGAGATGGCGACACCGATTTGACTGTGCGAATGAGGGAAAAGAAAACCGATAATAAATATTATATACTTCGGGGCCGCCCGGCAAATAGCGAGCTTTTCTAGTTTTAACTTGTAGTTTAACTTATTAACGTCTCCCTGAACGGCCTGAGCCACATTGATGAGTTAATCGACCGTTAACGTACTCCCGCAATCATGATCTGCAAATAATTATTCGTCGTCGAGTAACGGTACGAAATTATAATATTCCTCTTAATCTTTGATCGACTTATTGACCAATCGTCGACCACAGCAGACATGCAGCAGTATATACGCTATACGAGAAACTTATTCTTGAGAGGCGTCTCTGTCATCTACTTGCAGGCGTTCATTGCACTCTACGTTCAAAATTCTGGTGAGTATGGAGCATGGTTTAATGTTCGGCTGGCAGACTTTTTTTTCTGATCTGCCAATCCCCCCAGGGCCCAGGCATGTGTGTTTCTTCGTCACTTAACTTTCGAATTTCGACCATTTGTTTACGTCGTCGACAATTTAATGAAACTCTAGGATGTATTCCCTTTGCACCACTAATTTTGCCCTCGTTATTATGTCACAACTTAGACAATTGCTCAGTCTCCCATCCGTTATACCACATGGTTTTTGATTGAACCGATATCGTTTCATCAACTGTATCATTCTGTCATGTCTATGTCACTGTCACGTTTTCACGACATTAGATTTATCTATTTTAGACAGAATATTTATACAATTGTTAAATACCATGTAACACAATAAACAAAACAAACTCATTGTACCTATACACTACCTGTCTATTTGTGTAAAATCAAAATCAATATTGATAAGTATTAAGTACTTCAATAACCATAAATAATATGATTTTATAGTAAATTTGAATTTAATGTATTCAGATTTTATATTTTAGAATTTAAATATTTGAAAGGTCAAGAACAAACTTAGTTATATAAGTATAGTAGATACATTATATTTAATAGGTATTATTCTTATTTTTATGCTCTTATTAAATATAAAATTGTATATTAAAAAGCATTAAAGCTGTTCATATATTCTTGAACATTTTCATGATTCTAAACCTAGAACAGAGGCAGACTGATACAAACGGATTATTGCCTCACTTTAAAAAATATACTTTCCTAGTTATGGCATATTTCTACTTTACGGGATGTCTTATATTTTCTGAAACGTATGTAGTTAAGTAGGTATGCTAAAAACTATGGTGAAGTCAGTATTTAAGACTTGGACATAGTTTTGAAGTTAGATAGTTAGAATATAATATGTTGAATAATTAAAACAGTGAAGCGAGCAGTCGAGGCCCTGTGTTAGTACAATTACATTGTCATGGAAAGTGACCTGAGTTCTTGAACCAAATTTTGATTAACTCCAAAGCCTACCCAAGATGGTTTCACACAACAAGTCGAAGGATATTTTCAATTTTAATGTCTGAGTGAGCGTAGCAAGTGAATAACCTTCTTGCAGTAAATGTACTTTAAAAACAATATTATTGAAGTACATAAATTTACCTGAAGTGGTTTTATACATCAAGTTGAGGGATATTATTGATTTAAATGTCTGATATTGTTAAACATAAAAAGTGCAACATTACACCACAATATGAATAAGAAGAGTATCAAAAGTTGTATATTGAGATACTTAAAATGTAATGTTCCCATGAATATTGGGGACCATCCCCTCAATATTATTAAGTTAAAATTTTAACCCCTGCGCAGCACTTCAATATGAAAATTCGTTAACATTTTAGGTATTTTATACGTTGATTGCCATGAAGGCCGCCGTAGCCATAAAAATATTTATCGTGGGTATGCTAAGGACATTTTTCAGTGTCATTATAAATTTGTATATACAGCCCAAAAACATAATCATATTAAAATATTTTTATTTAAATACTAGTTTAAATTTACATTTATAATAAATCATAGTTCATTATTAATTATTAATAATTTTATAGGTCTTTTTGGAGAAAATGGAGTATTACCAGCAAAAAATACATTGATTAACGAGAGTCCTAAAGTATTTGATAAATTCAATTTTAAACCTACATTGTTATGGTTTTCATTTGAAATTGGTTTGAATGCTGAATATATGTTTGATGTAATATGCTTGTTTGGAATATTTTTTGCATTCCTTGGGTAAGTTATCTTGGATTATCTCATATACTATTCATTTAAATGTAATAAACTTGTTGTGTAAATAATTATGTAATTAAAAGTATGTACATATTATAAATGTTTGTTTGATCTACAACTTTTACTGCGAAGCCTTAGAATAAATTATTTGATCAGTGATACTTGTTTGCATAATATAATATTTATTAATAGAGCTTGACTGTATGTCAAAGCAATAAATCATTTCCTTTTTGAATTCTGAACAGAAAATTAAACTTGAACTAAAAGACTTAAAATGAATATTTTAGATAATTACCTACTTACTTATATTATATATGATAAACAATATATTTTAGTATTATACTCTGTTTTCTGAGAAAACAGGACTGTTTCGCACAAATTACTGTTGGTAGCGGTGCGTAGCCGTTATGAGTTGTATTGTTTGAGGATTGTGGAGTTTTAGGAGTTTTCGTCTGCTATGCAGTCCTGGTCTCTCCGTAAATAGAGTGTAGCAATCTAAAGATGAGGTGGGTGTGTGCAATATATATGTATTTATCTCTTTACTCATGCTTAATTTATTATTTACATATATTATGTACATACTCCGATTTACTACCTTCTTATATAATAATTATATACACATATGTAAGTAAATATATATGTATTAAGATTGTGCCGCCGCAGTGGCTGTAAAATTGAGTCCGGCTTCATTTTGCCATAACCGCCATCGCCACCGCCACCGCTACCGCTGCAGTGTGTGGCGACCTTAACAAATGTACTCGCCCTAATTTAACTGCAGAATTTTTATATTTCATTTGACAAACGAAAGAAGAAAAAACAGGCTTGATATTTATCAAAAACACAATTATTATATAAAATATATTTGAAAGGATACATTTAACATTTAAAGACAAAATGTATTACACTAGATACATATTATATATTTAAATAGTTAATTAGTAATTACACATGACTATATTCGTAGACACGTGCTAGGGTAGTAATGTTGTTCAGATCTGGCTGAAGATCAATGGTTGTCCGATCTAATGGGACAACTTATTTAAATAAAAACAAACAATATAAAGCCACATATACTCTAATGTAAACATCTGTGTGACTTCCATACAATATGATATATTATATACAAGGTATATTATGATGAGATTCTTGTAATCCATTAACCATATGGATTGCCTGCCATTACAATGTTTTTCAATATTTTAAGATTTTATATATAAATAATATTACCTTACTTAGCATATTAAAACAATTAAACTGGCCAAACTATATTTAATTAGAGTATAATATGATCCGCAGATTTCTATACTAGATAAACAACCCGAGATATAACAATAACGTATAAAAATAGTCTTTATCTCGTCATGATTTGTATCCATAAATTGCATATTATTTCAAAGCTATTTATAATTGCTCATTAGTTTACTATACAAATTGTGATAATTTAACAATTTATTTCTTGATGTTGATTCTTTTATATAAGCCTAAGGGATTTGTTATAATATAAAATATATATTATAACCAATCCACTTATTCCTAGTTTCCTTTTAGAGACTTAAAACCTATGTTTAAACAGTGTAAATTTAATCTAAATTTTAGCCGAAAAACGTTTTATATTCTAAACTAAACTATACTAAATACCTATAATTTTATGATTTGTTTTTATATAATACTATTAACAGTATTRCGGGTTTAAAGGGTAGGTAATATTATAATACTATCGTCAGATAGTATTTAAGAAATAAAGAAGCTACTTTGTATTATTGTTGATATACATTTTTAAATAATTAAAAAATTGTACTAATTATCCTGAAAACTTATTAATTTGTTTTTTATCATATTTTTAAGGTTCTTGACACAAAAAGTTTGTAACAAATTTTTATTTTTCTCTCTTTGGATCTCATATTTATCTTTGTACAATGTTGGTCAAATATTTTTGTCAGACCTAGCGTAAGTATTTTATATATTATGTTTATCATTTAACACAGTTTTGTTGTCATATAAATTTGTTTAATTTAGTGATGAGCTTCTATTGGAAGTGGGATTATTATGCATATTGATTGCACCATTACCTTTCCAAAAATTAAGAACCCCTTCAAAGAAACGCAATTTACGTCTACAAACTTCACTTGCATCATTACCACATGATTCAATTCCTTTTTGGCTTGTAAGATGGTTGCTATTTAGAGTAGCATTTTCTGCTGGTGTTGCTAAAATGAGTTCTAAGTCATCAATCTGGTATGATTTGACTGGTATGTAACATAAAATATTTTTAATAATGTAGATTGATCTGTTAAATTGAAACATGGAACCCAAGATATTTTTCTATCAAATTAAAAAAAAAATATTACACTCGCTGTTTGTTATGGAGAGAATGTAGTTGCAACAAACCAAAACACGTACTTGGTTACAAAAATTCTATCTTCCCATTTCTTGCTCGCAGGAATATATATAAAGTGCCTGCATTCTCTTGGCCGACAAAGCAACTATATTTTTTTGCTTCCTGAGAAAATAGTCATACTAAATAACTTTACTTTATATTGCATTAATTGAATTTATAATCATATTATTAACGAAGAGTGTGAATATTTAATAAAAAAAAGCTCAATTAGTTGAGTTGCCTTATTCTATATTGTAACGGCTTAAAAATATATATATTAGTAATATGTAATATGTAATTACCTAATAATGAGTCATAAACTTAAATAATGCTTTGGATTATATTCTAGAATTTAAATAAATGTATTTTTATTTTATTTTAGCTTTATCAAAATATTTTGAAAGTATGCCTCTACCAAATGCTATTTCTTGGTATGCTCACTATTTTCCACTTTGGTTTTTGAAAACGATAACAGTATTTGCTGAAATTAATGATTTATTTGTTCCATTGATGTTCTTGGTACCCATTCGGTCAGTTAAAAAGTTGGCATTTTATATTCAGGTATTATTTTCATTTGAAACTATGTGCAATATTTATTGATATATTAACTAATGATTGCATGTATTAAAATAACTTATACGGTCTATATTTTACTTATAATTTAGGTATTTATGCAAGTTGGAATTTTGGCATCAGGAAATTATAGCTATTACAATCTCTTGTACATAGTTTTATGTTTATCATTGTTGGATGACCATACATTTTATAGAGGTAAAAACAGTTGCTTAATTATTGTTTATACATAAAATTATGTATAAATAAAATTATTTAATTTTACTAGAATTAGCTCTGGCTAGAACTCGCCAATGGTGTTCTACTGTGTTTACAAGACTTATGACAATCAATGTTATTACCATTCTAATAGCTGTTTTTCCCATGTTGTATAATTTCCGCATTTCTCCAGCAAATACACCAGATTTTACAATTGGTAAATTTTTAATTTTATATTAATATAATAATATTTATAACTTTTTATTTATTCTTCTATCATTTTTTTTTCAGCATTTACACAGCAACAATTTAATGTCATATTAGGCAAAAGTTTGCCCTATATTGCCCTTTTTGCATTAGGTTCATTTGTTTTTGAATGTTTAAAAGCACTTTATTCGTCTCTACCTTTAAAAAGTAAAAGTAATGGTTCCTTTTCAGCGTTAATAACATCAACTCTGTATGTAACCATTTGTTTGGGTATATTTTCATTAAGTTCGGTCAATTTTTCTGCTCTTCATCCAAGTACTAATAATACTGTTACAAAGGATTTAAAAATGTTTTACAACAAATTAGCTCCTTATAAAATTAGTAACTCTTATTTACCACCTAAAGAATTCATCAATTTGGATAACCGTAAAGAAATTGTAATACAAGGCGCTAGTGATATAAAAGGACCATGGTATGAATATCAGTTCTTATACAAACCTGGAAATGTAAATGTTACACCACCGATTATTGGTTTGTATTCTGTTTGATATCTGTATTTCACTTAATTTTTATTTAAATAATACTATTTTTAGCTCCTTACAAGCCATTACTCGATCGCCAACTGTTTTTTGCTGCTCACTCTTTACCAGCTCAAAATCCTTGGCTTATGAGTGTTATGTATCGTCTGTTAAACAACCAGAAAGAAGTACTCTCATTATTAAACACTAATCAAATTCCATTTGGTAAAAATCCACCTAAGTTTGTTAAAGCATMCCTGTACAAATATCAGTTTTCTTCAAAGATACAACGGTAAGTTTACTAAATATTTGATATATTGCATAATTTGAATATCTTACTTTCGGAGATGTGCAAAAAAATTGATTTTCATTGAACTGAAAAAATGCTTTCCCACTTATCAGTCAGAAGGGGTACCCAACCTCTTTTCTAACTAGGAAGCCACTTAAAAAATTTAAATTATAGTGTCGTGATCTTCCAGTAATAATATACTTATATACTATATTATTTCATACAAAATAATATTAAATTGTTTATTAATATTCTTCTTTGTTATTTCTCCATCAAAAAATTGTATGTTTTTCTTTTTTTTCTTCATATTTTACCTTGAAATTATTTAAATCATAAAGGTGTATTTAAGTCCTAAATTTCAAGTCTACGCACTTGATCAGTAGATATTTGTGTAGTTAATTTTTAATAAAATCAACACTGGTGGKTGATCCAAGAATTATAGTATATTTGTCCATAATGCATATTTAAGTATATATTTTGTTATTTTTCAGTGCATAATTTATAATATGCTTGAATTTTCAAACCTTAATTATAAATGATATTATTATATCAAGCTCTGATTTATTTAAATGTTATACATATATAATTATTGTTAAATAGTTGGCTTTAAAATAAATACTAACATATTATGTTTATAGAGAGAGAGGAGTTTGGTGGAATCGGCAAATATTAAATTCTGAATATATTGCTCCAATGGATAAAAATAATCAAGTATTATTGGATACATTGAAGTCCCATAAAATTTTACTGAGTAACAGAACTCCATTACCCGTAAACCCAATTTTTAAAAGTAAGTTTTATTTTAATTATATATTTTATAATTATTTTAGCCCAGACGGTGTTTTTGGTCTTTACATAATGTTAGTACTTTAAAGTTATATTTTTACTATAAATTACATTGAACACTTTAAACATGATTTTCAAATTTATAAAATCAAATACCTAAAATAAAATTGAATTTATTAGAATAATTATGAATGCTTGTTTTGCGGTTAGGTACATTATATAAGTATATCTATAATGGTGTAATTATATGAAATAGTCAAGAATTTAATTCCCAAATTAAGAGTTTCCATGATTATTTTATAAATAACCAATAATATTTATAGATATCTAGATGATTATTTTTAGTATTTTATTTTCAAGTTAACAATTTTCCTTGTTGGTTTTATTGTTTTAATTATTTCAATGGTTATGATCATATTTGGTGCTTTCCTAGTTCGAAATAATTGCTGTATACACTCTACAAATATATTGCTAATTTATTTKAAAGAATCCATAGTTAATATAATTTTTTTGATATTGATGTTTTCTAAAATATATACTAGTAGTTATAACGCACTTGATAATAATTAATTAATTAGCACTAATAAACTGTGATCTTGGTTAGAAGTATACATAAAATTATATTGTGTATAATCTATACTCAATAAAAAATTAGACTGAGTGTGAAGAGGCACAAAGCTTAAATTTATCAATAATATTTCTTGCCTATAAAAATAAATTCTATTGGTATATAATATCAAATTAATGATTAAAATAATTAATTACATGTAAACATTATTTTTAGTATAATATATTTTTAATGAATTTATATAAACAAAATTAAATTTATTAAATGTCACTTATTTATCTATTGTGTTTTTAATTACAGAAATATTGGACCAAATTAGGTCACTTCTCTTGGCAGTCGATCCACGAATATTAATATTTGGATTTTTAATGGCCGGTTTTGTATTGATATTATTACCCGTCGGCTCCAATATTTCTTCTATTTGAATGCAATTATTAATATAAAAGTGTGTGTGCTGCTGAAGACTTAATATGGTTTTTTTTTATTCAATTACACTTCCCAAGATGATCTGTGAACTCAGAAATTATTCAATTTTTAAACAAAAATTGTTTTTAATGTATATACACATTTGTATTACTTTAATTTTTAATTTTTTATATTCTCTTTTAGTTTAAATTTTGTGGTTTGTATTTAAATTTTTTTTACGTTATAACACTCATTAAATTGTGTTTCTTTTTATTAATTACGTTATTATTTTGAGACTGTTGTGTTATAAAATAATTAGCATAGGTCAATCTCCATACCCCTTATGTAGTGTATTTTGTGTGTAGCAACAAAGTAGTGTATTCACGCTTTATATAGCGGTGTTAGATTGTCATAATAATTTTTGTAGTTTTGGATTTGCATTTTAAACATAAATGAATAAAAATGTATGAATATTTTTAGAATAATTTAATAAACAATTACATTTAAAAAAAATGTTCTATACATTTTTTTATTTCTTATGAAATTTAAATTATAATTTTATCATTGTCTAATAATAGTTTGAAAAACATAGAACGTGTTATCAGTAAACATTACGATTACCCATTCAATTTACTATTTAGTGAGACCATACACAATGATACGTCACCTCTCGTACGATTTGAACTTACACCAATCGTGGAAGAGTCGTCGATCTGATGTTTGTTTTAGTCAAGTTTAAAAATTATTTTGTAATCATCATTTTTCTCTCTTCTGTTTTATTTATATTTACGCGCTGGACGGCAGGATAATTATAAACCTGAAGGTAAGTTTTTAAGTAAATAATAAATATCATTAGTTGTATTGGTAATTATAATTAGATTTAGAATAGATGTTCATAACCGGTTATCCAACTTATATTAATTTACCCCATAATATGTATTTTTAATTTTCTTGATCGTTTTATTTGATCTGAATAAGAACAACACCCTGAAATCAGCGCCAATGTTGTTAATTTCTCTTTTAGATGTTGAATTTGGAAAAGACAAACACGCGTAGATTTCAAAAATTATTAAGGAATATATTGGATATACTAAAAATCTAAATCTAAATTCAAATTAAGTAAATGGTATATCAACATAATATTACTAATGTTTATTCAATATTTTTGACACTAATGAATGAATAATATTAAATTGATTTAAAGTTTAAATACAAAATCATAATTTTCAAGCATGTTGAGGTCTTACTTCTACATATCAGTCTTCTAAAGCCTGTTTCATTTTAGATTCTCTAATAGTCTAATGATGTGTGTACTCAAAAAGTAGTAGCGAAAAATGATTCGATTTTCAATTATGGGGTGATTTCTGATAAAAAATTGGACCTGGATGATACTTGTGAGTTATGAGAGGTCAAAATAGGCAAGTATTTTTTTTAAATTATTAGAAATAAACAAAAAAAATGGGTCTGCCAGTTTTTTAAATTTTCTGCGATTCTACAGGGTGATTGATTCATCAAACAACACTATAAAAAACCAACGTTTTTATTAAAAAATTATATTTTTTATCMTTATCATTTTTTAAGTTTTTTACTTTTTTAAATGCCAACATAGAGAAGTATTTTAATACATAAAAATCAATTTTGGGGCTAGTAGTTTATGAGTTATAAGTATATTCAGTGGCGCAATTATCGGGAGTGTTGGGTGTGCAATTCACGGGGGCCCCGATTCCTGAGATCTTTTGTATGATATTTCTACTATAATCTGTAGTATACAAATCTTATATATTTTGTTTTAAATGTTTAATACAATAATATCTTAACTCTTATGAGTTTAGAGAGTTCGAATTACAAGTATGAAAAACTTATGCAAAAGTTGGGACATTCCAACGAATTATCGAACAGATGAAAGAACAAGATTTGCAATCAAACATTTTGATGAGATTGATGGAGATCGTTGTCTAAATATTACGGAAGAAAATTTAAAAATTAAATTATTTTTTACTAATTATAGATACAGTTATATTTCAAATAAATTCAAGATTTTAAATCTTGTAAGGAAAACTTATGGAAAACTTAGTGTTGTATTTTTAATCCTTAGTTATAAACGCAAAAATTTTATAATTTTTCAACTTCAAAATTACTTGCAAATTATCGCGTTTTCGACAGATTTCGTAAAAATTTGAACTATAAACGCTTATAAAAAAAAAAATTGTGACTAACGATTTTTAATTTTTTTTAGCTACAATTAGAACAACTCATAAGAAACCTTGTATTCAATTTTCAATTTTTTTGATCATCCAACAATTTTTTACCAACACTCCAAAAAAAATTCTTAAAAAAATCGAAAATTTCAGTGGTCTATAAATAACTCAAAAAATACATCTAAAAAAGTTGGCCAATCACAAAAAATCATAATATGTTATTAAATCGTATTATTATTAAAATTATTATTGTCATTCGTATCAGTCTAGTCTCGACTCTCGACGTCTACGAAGATACCGAGGAAAAATCGAATATTCGATAATTGAACAAATAAATAATCATTTTGGTGCAATTTACAAATTCTATTTTCGACTACCTGATGGTGGTGCAAATTACAACCACTATTTTTGGCTACCAGCAGTGGTGCAGATTATATATCTTTAATTTGGTGCAAATTACAAACTCCCCTATATCTTTATAGTAGCTTTTTTTTATTTTTATAGCACTAACCAATAATTTTAAATAATTAAATGAAAAAAAAAGAGACCTTAAACTGATAACTTTAATAGTATTTATGTTATCTAAATAATAAAACTACTACGACACAGATAAAGTTCTTTCCTGTGTCTTATAGAATTGTGGTAATTCTATTAGATGTACAGAGGGAGTTAAGTTGTGCCGCGCAAAACAGTTTTTGCTATATATATTATGTAGTACGTTTGTGATGAGGCGAGGCGGATGTCATGGCCTCACGGGTGTGGTGTCCTCTTAACAGTTATAATTTTGCATATTTTGGACATTAGAGAATATTTTGCCTATTTTTTGCGTTTTAGAAAATAGGTATTCTAATATCGTTCATAAAAAATCTTATATTTTGTTAATTTCTCGAGTTGTTATCTTTTCTAACAAAAGTTTTTTCTAGGCAAAAAAAATAATTTGATCATTCAAATTTAAATATATTTAAATCGTTTATTATGCCTTTTTTTAAAAATAATTTTTCCTGTTACCAAGGAATGGCGCATAACAGTTATTTATTGTTTTTATTGAACCGTTTAAAAAAAAAATAATCAAATATTCATATACTTACACAAGTTTAAGAAATATTAGATAATATTTTAGGAGTTTTTTTTTGGAACATTTTTGCATCATAATTTAATAAGCTTTTAATAATAGCCTGTAATCCACTCATTAGTTATGAGTGTTATGACTTATGTACAATGTACATATTTATCTAATTTTGGCTTAGCGAGTATCCAAAAATTCCAACATATTTTTATTCTCGGCACTCGTGTCGTATTATTGTAGTCTGTCCTTTCAGACCTTTGGAAGGTGTTATTTCTAATACTATATTACAATGAAAAATATATACCTTAGACCAATTTAACTTAACTTAACTGAGTTAAAAAAAATCATTAACTTTCCCAGCCTTGCCAATAGGTATAATAAGTTATGTACACTAATATTGCAAATATAATTAAATTACGGAGTTAAAATGTTTGACATGGTTGAATGAACTTCGTGTGTGCAAAAATCCGTCATAAAATATGAAATGTGTATACGCAATTATTTCAATTAAATTACGTAATTTAAAAAATATTGCTTTTTCGATAAGAAACGGTTAGTGACCCATCTATTATTTGAAGACAATTTTGTTTTGAAAATGATTGATTTTTAGTTTTTGTGGCAGTATTGGTCAATGGCGTGGAGAAAATATTTTTGCTGCGATTTGTTTCGCAACGTATCAATCGACGTGAATCGACACGTGGATTTTATATTTTTTTCTAGCTACTAGCAGGACATAATTGACTATGTTTGACTGTTGTGATTGTATTCATTAGTGTAAGTATGAACATGTAGTTATATTCCAAATATCTGGGATTTTGAAGGATAGGTTACACCAACCGACCGTCGCACAAATTATTCTATTATAAATTAATAGCTTTACTGCTTACAGGTATTACATTATTATAAGTAATAGTTAAAATAATTGTACTCTTGGTTTAACCTTGAGCCTATTGTTATGGAAATATGTGGAGATGGGTCTTATCTATATTAAAGATGTAAGTTCGCAAGTTCGCTAAAAGTCTATATAAACGTTAGACAAACGGAATCACGCTTAAACTCGGGTTCATTACAATAATAGTAACAGATTTAAACTTGAAACCATTTTTAAATTCACTTGTCAAAAAGTCTAAAAATGTTAAATGTTTTAAATAATCATTCAATAGGGTCGAAAAGAGAAAACTATCAAAATTATGTCTAAATTAATGATTCAACAAATAATCAATAGTTTGGTTTAAACTTTAAGCTACCTACAAAATCCTTTAATTCTGATTCAGAAATGTCATACAGCTATATAACAAATGACTAAGGTACTCGTTTGAAAGACTTGTGTTATATTAATAATTCTCTAACATATTCTAAAATTTAAACCTATAGAAGTAGATACACGTCCTATTACCTACCTACTCAATTCGCTCATCATTCAAATACATATTTTCAAATTCGTTTATTAACGTTGGAAAAATGTTCTACCTATATGCCATATGCGTACCAGGAAAATTATTAAATAGTTTTAGATAGGTATAGTAGCATAAAGCATTATATATTCTGTTTTCTGTATTATGCATATTTCAAGTTGATTTTTGCAAATGATCAGAGTTAATGACTTTTTATTGACTTACCGCCTATTATTATGTTCTTATCGTCTGTTTAGTCTACTACAATAGTCGTCCGTGTTCGCAGACGTGTGGGTTGTCTGCAGACAAAACATTACTTATCGAATTATCGAAAACGCTGCAAGAGTGAATATATTTTGGGAGGTCAGATTAGCTGAAATTCGTATCACTTCGACGAATATTATTTAGGTGTGGACGTAGGTACGATTCGATAATATTATGTTAGGTTTCGTTACTTTGCTCACCTCTGTTAAATAGTTCTAAAAATACAATGGCCAACTTCTTCATTACGAATTTCGTATCATCGTATCAATA